AGCCCTGCTGCCACTGGGAGTCCATGGCGGGCGGAGAAGCGATGTTGACTCGAAAGAGGAAATGATGCAGTCGGTCGGGATCGGGATGAGCTGCCAAACGGAGGGTTGGATGGTGGAGGTTGAAAGTTGGAAGGGGGAAAGGGCTGGCCGAGCGCTTTAGCTGATGTCGTCGGTGGTTTCGACTGGACGCGTTAAGCGGGCGAATGGGGCCAGGCTGGACTGGGCGTACTAAGGTTGAAAGGCAAGTTGCAGGAGCGAGCGCAGACTCGCAGGCAGAGCAAAGCCAAGGGAGGTGAGTGAGGTAAGATTGGCAGTGAGTGTCGAAGGGTCGACCGGGTGTGTGGGCTGCGTTGCTCGTGTCTGATGCGGCGCCGGTAATGTCGCGGCTGGGTGAGGACGAGGATGGGAAGGGTAAGGTACCTTGCGTGAGAGGTGGTCAGGTAAGGTATGGCCGCCGTCCAGTACGAATAGGTAGGTAGTGGAAGTGGAAGTAGTGTGTGTGGACTGGCTCAGAGTCTGTCTGGCAAATGCAGAGCGCAGAGTGCAGAGTGCAGATTGCAGACCAAGGACCAAGGCGCGCAGAGGGAATTGACTGGAGGGATGCAGTCGAGCTCAGTGAGGGTGCCAAGGAGAGGGATTCGGCAGAATTGGGCTGACACGGCCCAAACTCTCTTGGTGTGAATAGAGTTCGGAGGGGAAGTTTTGGGTGGTTATCCCTAAGAATTCATCATGACAATTAAAAGACGGGCGCAAGAAGGCTGCAATGAACTAATTCAAAGACGGGGCCTTTGGACGTTAACAACAAGTATTTGGTGTGTGTTGTTTTCCACGGAACGTGCAAGCTAAGGTAATCGGGCGGGAAAAGAGGGCGATTGTATGTACGGATACGCAACCTGTGAAGCAGGAAGGAGGGGGCGGAGGGGAAGGAGTGTATGGACGGGAGAGAATGCGCGCGACTGACGGGGGGTGGAGGAGGGGAGGGGAGGGGATTTGGGATGGCCTGGTGGAGCTGGGAGGTATAAGTGGGAGAGGATGCGAGTGTTCCGCGGGCCACGATGGTCGCTTGCGACGCAGGCCTGAGATGGTCGGGCAGGGAAACAGAGCAGACCTCCACTGAATGAGCCTACGTTACCTACTACGTAGTGCCTCCTCCGTACTTAACGCAGCAAGTGGCAGAAGGCGCAACTTGACGCAAAGCCGGGGGGCTTGATGAGGTGGGCTTTTGGAGCCTTTGGGGAGAGGGGGACAAGGTTCCTCGAGAAACTACTTCTCAGATAGGCACGCAAGGTACCTAAAGCAGGCAAAGTACCTCACCTCAGCAATGGGGACCCATGGGTCTAAGGTACCTTAGGCTGTACGGATAGACAGAACCTTGCCTTTGAATCAAAGGGCCCTGAAGTGAGTGCCCTGCGGTATCTGCCCGTAGAGCACCATCGACAAGAATAAACACTAGGCAGTAATAATAACAAGTACATAGAAACCAGAAGTAGGGATGTGCAAGGCAGGACAACATCCCTAGCTTACTAGTAATCCGAAAAGCAATTACCTTTTCCCAGCACACCCAAAACATACACACAACCTCGCACGTACACATACCATGGATCAAGGTACCTTACCTGGACTGAGGGTAAAGCCAAGGTCGAGGGGCAAAGAAACGCTTCGAGACACGGAGAGGCGCTGGCTGTTGTACACCAATGCCAACGGACGGGAACAGACCTGTCCCCCGTCTCACATGGCCTCCACCTAAGCCTGAAGTATCACCTCGAGGTAGTAGTTACCAAGGCAAGATCAGTAGAGGCCGGCTTGAAGAGGCATGTCCGTATGACAATGACGGGAGCGACGTTGGTGGCCGAGTGAAGCAAGGCGATGTAAGAATATGATCAAGCCTCCTGCACGCTGGTATAATATTGTTTCGTTGAAACCATTTTTCCTCGTCTTCTTCTCAAATGGTGGCCGAAAGAAAGGTATCAAACAGTGAAAATGGTTGAAGGAGACATTGGGGGCGAGGATCAATAGCAACCACAAAATGACCAATCAGAGGCTGAAGACCCGGCAGGGCACCCAGGCAAAAGTACGTCAGGTTGGCATTGGGTTCGGGTTTCCAGACCTGACAGGCCAAGCACCAAGGTTGGCCGGTGCACACTGCGGCGAAGTACGTAGTACGAAGTACGGCGGTGGAGAGCAGGGCAGAAAGACAAAGATGCTGTTTGACATATGTTCAACACATGCCTCACCACCACCTACCTGCGTCACCACCACTTCCCATACCTGTGTTTTGTGTTGCCCAATTTTATCTCACTCGCGAAATGGGGCCCAAGCAAGCGATGCGATGAGCACTTGGGTATGCTGACACTCACAGACCAACGGTCATGGCCGGTGACGAGAGACGAAAACGGTCTTGTGTCGAGCTGGCCAGAACATGTGGAGAGAAAGAGGCTGGAGGCTGGAGTCACTCAGCAAAGCACCATGGAATGGATCCGTAACAATGCCCCCAAGCTCACTCAGTGGCTGCAAGTCTGCGGCCTGACGACGATAGCAAAGACGATACGATGGGGCCATAAAACGTGACGGAAATCATGGATTCCACGGATTCCCCAACAGACCCTCCAGGCTGATGCTGTGAGCCTTGAGCACCTCAGTGAGTGCAAGTGGAAGTTGCACAGTAGGCACCAAAGAAGGACCATTCAATTGAGATTCCTGTCCAAGCTGCCAAGTATCCGCAGAGTTTTCCCAAGAATGATAACAACCATCTTAATCATAGCCAATAATCAACTATGATGTATGGTGACTCGTGAAAGGCGAAAAAAAAGTGCGCCGAGCATAAAGTGGTGGGCTTGGCTAAACCCAGCCCAGCGTGCCAGGCGTTCCGAGTATCCGTTCTCAGCCATAGACAACAGCCTTTTTCGCGAGGGCTTGCGAGTTGCGAGTGGGAAAACTGAGACGTCCAGGCCAGCTCTGGGTCCGGACTGAGCTGAGCAATGCTAGTAATAAAGCCAGAAACCATTTCAATCCGTCCCGCCTGTTCATCAAACAAAAGGGACCCCCCTCGGACGGTGGATGGAGGATGGATCGCCGTAGTGTGTTCCAAAAAGCAATGCAGGTAGGTCCATATTACCAACCGACAGTATATCACCGCCTGCCATGCGACAAACAAAACATAAACATATTTTTCAGTCTTGATGGGCTGGCTTCCTGTTGTTTTTGGTTCCCCTTTGCTCGTGACATGTTCGGAGTCATTGGAAGTGCAATGTCAAGGTACGTACTCTGTACGCATCGTCAGTCTTCAATTTCTTCACCAATTTGCTCTTGCAGGTGCCAACAGCCAACAGCCAACTTCCTTCTCGGACATGTTACGCAGTGTGCGCGCAGAGGGCCACCAAAAGAACCTAAGGCAGGCGCTGGCAGCAGCAGCGGAACTCCACAAAAGGCGATTTCAGCCTACCTTATCCGTATCCCACGCCGAATCCATGGTTACCTTTTCTGCCCTCAATTTTCAAGCACCTTCCATGCTGTAAGCTTGGAAGGTGCACCTTGAGCTTCCGCTCTACTCAACTCATGCCCAGAAACAACAACTTTCATGATCATAACACCAAACGCTCGGGGCAAAATGGTAATCGTTCATGCGGTAATTTGAAGAGCAAGAACATCACATTCTTGTCCCAAAAGAGGCATCAACGGAACTACCTAGCCGCCAGTGGTGGATTGATCCACAGCTCCACTACTTGACGCTACTGCGCTAAAACACCTCCAAGGCTATCTCGCACCCATACTAGGCCTACTCGAGCAAATAGTGGGCTACACGTGACTTCACGTGACTGCACCGCTCAAAAGCAGTCACATGTTGGGCCATGGGCGCGCGCCTTCCCATTATTTATGTTTTGACGCGTAATACCACCTTTTTGGTCATTTTTGAAGCAGGATAAGTACCTCTCCGAGCACCAAAATATGGGCTCTAGAGATGTACTTCCCCTGAGCAAAGACTAGCTTTTAAAGTCGTGGTTTTGATTCTGAAAAGCGCGCTGTAGAAGAGGGTAAAGTGGAAGGTATAGCGGTGGAAGGTGCAGCAGAGGAGGCTACGCCTTCCTAAGAAACTGCCGGAATAATAGAGATTCCGGGTCAATTGTGGCTACTGCGGCGGTGCAGTCACGTGCAGGTGCGGGATAGCCTTCATGTGGGTGCGGAATAGCCGTCCTCCCAAGAAGAACTACCTGCACCCACGCGCATGCATGAAAACCCCCTCCATCAGCCAACCACATGTCGTCTTCACCTGCTCGCTCCTTGGTCATCCAAGCCACACACCCGCACCCCTTCTCCTCTCCCATAGGTTCGTCAAAATCTGGTGTCTGGTCGTAGGTATCTAATGGTGACTCGAGTATCCGGGAGACCACCACGCGCTAGGAGAAAACTTGTGCCCAACATAGTGTAGAGAAAAATAGATAAATAAAAAGTCATAAACTCATCATCCAACAGATTCGTCATGCTGAAGAGGTATCCATGATAGAACAAAGCAGCAAACTTTTTTTTTGGCAACGAAACAGCATATCAAAAGTCTGCCCTCTGCCCCTCCGACAGGTTGAGATAGAGAGAGAGAGAGAGAGAAATGACTGCGCAAGGAAAAGTTCGTGACTTGTGGGAATCACTAGGCCGTAGAAGATATGAAGACTGAGAAACGTCCCGGAAAATGCACATGATGTCCCCTTCGCATCCCCAGTGCTCACACAAGAGAAACCAACATATGCCCTCATCGCAGATGGCAGGAGAGATTGAGATAGAGAGAGAGAGACGCTTTGGCAAGAAATGATGTTTGGAAAACATGGGAGATGCGTTGGTCATGCCATTTTGCCATCGAGAAAACAACATTGGAAAAGAAAGACTCCACAAAAGCAACCCCTAGGACCTTGCAACGTTGTGGGTGCGACCGTATTCGACGCGCTCTGTTCGAGCAAAAAGCAACGCTGCGCACTCCAGCTCACGAGCTTGGGCTACGTCGTGAACTGCAGTTAGCCCTGGTACCCAGCGAACCCGTTGTTGAAGTTCTGTCCCTGGGGTCCCTGGGGCCACTGCTGGTTGGGTGGCTGTTGCCCGCGACCATAGCCTCCGGCACTCTGCGGTCCGCCGTATCCCATGGGCTGCGCTCCATAACCGGCCGGGGACTGAGCGGCTGGGCCACCGTAGTTGCCGTGCTGACCTTGGTATTGACCTGATGAATAATATGTAAGCCTGGGGTTTCTTCTGCATCTCTAGCCTGTAGCTGAACACTCACCGCCGTATTGAGGAAAGTAGGCAGTCGGGGTACCGGGGTAACCTCCGGGTCCGGAAGCGGCGCTTTGCGGGCTGTACGCCTGCTGCGAGGGGTCGAAGCCGGCGGCGGCGCCGCCCTGAGGGTTCGGGGTCTTGTCCTTGCCCCACTTCGCACAGGAAAAAGTCAGTGCGTATTCTCCAGCAATTGGCTTTGGGGTAAACTCACGCTGCACTTCAAGGGGCGTCCATTAACATTATAGCCGTTCATCTGGCAGATTGCCATAGCCGCGCTCTCGTGGCTATCCATCTTAATGAATGCAAATCCTCGGTCCGCCTGGAATCGAGACTCAACCACAAAGCCAAAGTTTTGGAACAGGGGGACAACGTCGTTTGGCGTGGTGTAAGGAGTCAAGTTGCCAACATAGCACGTCGTTTGCCACGACGGCGTCTGGGCAAGGACAACCTCGTAGCTGGCGACACCATGAGCTGGGAACTGGTGGTGGCCAAAAGGTGTCGTGGGCGTCAGGCCCATAGCCTGCATCGCCTGCTGCTGCGCAATAGACGGCTGACCCTTTTGGTTTGCCCAGTTGCAGCGGATGGCGCGCGAGCCAAGCCACTCTCCATCCATGGAGCTGAGTGCCTTCTCGGCGTCCGGGCGGTCCCTGAAAGCGACGAAACCGTATCCACGAGATCGGCCAGTCTTCATGTCCCACATGACACGAGCTTCGGATACGGAGCCAAAGGCAGAGAACGCCTGGGTCAGAACCTCGTCGTTGACTTCGTTGCTAAGGTCGCCAACGAAGATGTGGAAGTGGTTGGAGGTGTCCTCCTTGCTTGAGGTGTTGGACTGGTAAGCCCAATTGACGCGGATTTCCTAACAAATTGTCAACTTCGATTCGCAACATCAGAGGAAGGTTCTCGTACGGATTGGTGCACACGTCTTCCATTCAAGGTCTGCATAGCGCGCTCGGCCGCACCGGGATCATCGTACTCAACGAATCCATAGTTGTAGCCCTTAGCCTGTCGATACACGGTCAGCTATATCGTGGATCACATGGACATGTAGATACCAATAGCATCCTCATGGAAAGTTTTATATGGCAACAGTATACGCACATTCTTGTCGGGGATGATCTTGACATTCTGAACGTGACCAGTAGTCTCGAAGATCTGACGCAAGACATCCTCGGTAACACGTTGATCCAAGCCTCCGACGTACAGCGCCCGCTTGTTAGGTTCGGGAGCAGCACGGCGGCCGAATCCCCCAGCGCTACCGGGCGACATAACCTTATCGACACCAGACATGGGCGAGGTAATGGCGGTCGGAATCGGGTTGTTGTTCTGCGGAATATGGAGGGGAGGCGGGGGCATGTGCGCCGGGTTTGACTGGCCATTCTGGCCGTTCTCGTAGCCTGGAGCTCCAGCATTCGGCTGGGGAGGAGGGGGCAGCTGCGCAGCGTTCGAAGCAGGTCCGTTGTCCGCCATTGCGTCGGTTATTGGTACTAGGAGTCGATTGTGTGACGAGTGGATTTCGAAACTTGAGAATTCGTCGACTGCTAATGACGATATGAGAGACAGCGTGGCAGGTAGCTAGACCAATATAGCTCTAGACTTTGCTTGCAAGATGCGACGCTCGACTAAGATTGTCTTAGAACGGTAGCGAGGTTCGAGAAGCAACCGACTGCTTGGAGCTTGTTGATTGTGGCGTGAGTAGAAGTGTGGGAGGAAGTAGTACTGAAAACTTGTCCCTAGACTGACGTGACCCTAGAAGCTCACAGCAAAGCAAGCAAGCAAGCGAGCAACGAGGCTAAAAGAGCGGGAAGCGGGAGGCGGGGAGAGTGCGCGCGCGCGAGAGAGAATAAGTATGAGAGAGGGAAAAAAGTGGCGGACACAATTAGGATGTCTTAGCCGAGGGCGGCTAGGACGATGTCGAGTCTTTTTTTCCTTGGATCTGTTCTTTGCGATCTATCGGTAGAGGCAGTCGAAGTCGAGAATGGAACGATGTGACTTGACCTTGGAAGAGGAAGGCAACGAACCGAAAGTCGACAGGAAAAATTGTGGACGTGGGGACGGTACTGGCAGGCAAAATGGACGTCGACCCAACGTGACAAGAGAGACGCTTGAGCGGATAGAGAGACAAGGGGAAGGGCGAATGATAAGAGAGATGCCGAGAGAAGCTCCAAAGTAGTGTACTGTGCAGTGCTGTAGATGAGATGACAGGAGACTCGAAATGATAAGCGGAGGCGAGCACCAAGGAAACAGGCGTGAAAAGAGGACTGGAACCCCCTGAAAGGAATCACAACAAAACCCGGTCCGAGAGGAGAGAGAGAGAGAGAGAGAGAGGAGACGACAGGAGAGAGGAGAGAGAAACGTTTCCTGAAGACGTGGAGAGGAGAATCTGCGATGGGGAGGGGAGAGGGGAGCAGATGGAAGGAGGGAGAAGAAGGAGGGCGGATGAGGGGGGGACATTTGATCATGGCGAGACCAGAAACGAAATTCGCACAGCCTGCGGCACCCTGGCACCGTACATAGTGCTAAGTAAGGTAAGATGGTAGGGTAGGTAGGGGAGATGCAGGTTGTCGTCCAGTGAGATGTGGTCTCGTCCTGTCCAGTGCAGCTCAGCAAAGGCAGATAGAGGCCGGTGCAGAATGGGTTCAGTTGGAGCTTTGCCCTCATTTACCTCTATGTTGGGAGGCAGTTTCGTACCTACCTTTGTACCCAATCTATACAGGGTGTCAAGGTAGGAGGGCAATCCACATCCAAGGCATCTCCACTTGCCTTTTTTTCTTTTTTACATTTTGTCCATGTATAATTTGGGGTGCCAATTGCTGCGCGTTGCTGCAAAGCTTCTACAGAAATGTACATGCGTCGTTCACTGTTGCCTCACCAGGCTCACCTCGCCAGCAAAGCAACAAGGGCAACCCATTCGGCGCCCACCGCTTGTCCCAGACCCTGGGATTGGCCTGTTGAAGGTCTCCGTCGAACCCTGTGCCAGGCTGTTGCTTGTCCAGCCGTGCCTTTCCACTGGGTACAGCTGCGCACTATCCCCAGTCGGCCAAGGGTGGTGCTACTAAGATACGGGTGGCTGTAGCTGGTCCCCGGCGCGAGAGGGGCGGGCAGCGGGCTACCTATTCTACGGATACCCTTCTTCTTTTTATTCTTGTAATTCGAGCACATCCACATTTCCCGCTACCTAAGGTACGGACACCTACCCTCAGTTACGTGCTGTCATCTGGTGTCGAGTACTTGCGAGTCTTAGCTTAGCTGCACCTGATTCACACTCGGTACTCGCTCAACCTTCTTTACCTTGAACCAACGGGTGAGCCTTCTGCTTGGTCAGGGCTTGCAGAGTGAGGGGAAACGGGAGAGATGGGATGGCAGCAAGAAACAAAAAAGGGGTGTTGCTGCAACAGGTAGATGCTTAAGCGACTTGCGCTAAACTTGCTTGGGCAAGGAGCGAAGCCTGGGACGGCCGCTGACGACGTGGAAGTTTGAGCATTGCACCATCACAGACATTGGATGGCCAATTCAACTTTCTGCGCCAGACGGGAGTCGCGGGAGGCGGGACAGGCCCTGTCAGAGCTAGACAGGACGGGCGCTTGGTTTTGACATTTCCTGAATCAATGGATCACTCATTGAACCTGAGAGTCGGTCATAGAAAGATGCACATATAGGCTGCATTGATCACACTCTCGATTGGACGTGGATGAACGTAGTTACAAATGCGTAGCAGTGAAATGAAATTTGCGGCTGCCAACAGGCCATGTAAGATGAGCTCCCACCAAGGTGAAAAAGCCAGTGCAAACAAATAGAACTCGATTCAATGGGGGCCCTGACCTGGGAGTTGGATAATGGTAGCAAACGTGTCGCCATAGGAAGGATTCTAAGCCTTGAGTCTCAATGCAGAAATCATGACTGATCACCGTGCCAAATGATGTGCCTAAAGGAAAGGATATCCCAGCTATGCCTCGGCGCACTCCCTGTTTAAGCGTCTTTCAGGCTCACCTGCCGCATGCATAGTAAATAAATTACCAGCTGTACTAGCACTTTCCCTTCAATAGACGACTGAGCCTCCCAGAATTTCATCTCATGCCTCACGCCAAGTCGCGATTGGGGGCGGCACTAACAGCCTCAACCATGGAATATAAGCATTTAGCTTTGGCGGACCACAACATCAATGCTCAACCTGTTGCAAGCACACAATCAAGAACAGACTGTCGGGGGTTCTCCTCGGTACATGGACTAGAATAAGGATCCATTCCGCTTTTCAAGACCGACTGACCGACAACCGACTTCATATCATCAGGCTCATCATCACTGATTATTTGGTGGCTCGGGATGTCTCACAGCTAGACATTCTCTTACCTACATTATGTAAAGTCACAGCAAGCTTCAGCATGCATAAGGACCCCCAAGACGCTAGAGTTCCGGGCATCAATGACCGGGCATGTGGGTTACGAAACTTGTTGTTGCAGGACGCAACCAATTTCCCGGGAGGAGGGCTCCCGGCACGATGGGACGAACGATGTCCTGGGTTAGCTCACCGGCGGCGGCAATAGGGTTACCCATACCTCCGACGGTGGGCTTTGCCCTTGTCTTCCGCATCCGCAACAACGTCCTCCGAGAGATCAGGGAACCTCTCTTCCGCATGTGGCCTGGTTGTTACTGAGCGTGGAAGGGAATCCAAGTCACCGTCTGGGGACCCAATATCAGCAAGATAAGTGTTGACAGACCAAGGTAGCTTGTGCCTCTCCAAACATTGAAGGTACGCATACGTAGACAGACCAGACTCTCGTCGATCAGAGCTCCTCGCAGGGGCTTACGGCCCTCGACGAGTCTTCCGTCCGACGCAATCGAGTTTCAACTGAAGAACACCCTCTCAGTCGACTTCGTCCCAAGATTCCACGTTGGTCGTGATCTGATGCATGGAGGAAAAGGTGGAACCAGAGCCAGAGACAGAGGGGAAAGTGACCTACTACCGCCTGCTTGTCTTGCGCTCACCCCGTGCCGTATGGCAGGTGCGGGGTTACTTCCGGGGCTCACAGTGCATTCAATGTTCCTTCCTCAGGTCGTTGGCGCTAGGAGCTGTGATTGCTGTGGGCGTGGCGCAACTGCATGGCCACAGCAACCCGCATGTGCGCTTCGGCTGTTCATTGGTTGAGCTTCCTAATGTGTCTGATTGGTCGAGCTATGCGCCCGGGCTCCAGTCTCGCCTTCCAGTCGACGACAGAGAATCTACCTACCTAAACTCACCGCAGGTACGTACCGGCTCATCGGAGAGGAAGGCTGGGAACCTGGCTGATTCAGACGTCAAACATTGGTGTTTGGTTGGTTGTCGAAGAATCGACTGCAACTTCAGCAACGATCCAGCGATTTACTTTTACCAAATCAACTTCAATCATCCCATCAAATCGGTTCAATAAGGTAGCTTCGACGGTTCCATTCTCTCTCACTCTCTCCACTGCCGAAGAGTTCACATAATCGACGCTTACGGAAACGCCTGGCCTCTCTCAGTCTCTTCGACCTCATAATATCAAGTTTGACACATCCCCTTGAATGGCCGACTGTCACCTATTACTGTGTCGCGGCATTTCGACTTGGCATATCGATCCTACGCACTCGAAAACGCGAGCAGCTCGTAGAATATTTGACCATTGAACTCATAGCCAGCGGCGTCACGTCGCTGCAATGGCAAACTCGAAGGCGGCGACTTCTGACTCTGCGGAAGCACTGCATGGACTTATAAACGATGTGGTATGTAAAGTTTGGTAATTTCAAATACGTGACTGTAATGGCTGATCATATCCGCAGCTGGTCCAGACAGGCAAGGCACTGAAGTCTCTTAGCAAAGATGGCAGGCATCAATTCCAGGCCCAAGCCTCTTTACAAACAAAGATGCCAGAGATCATCGAGAGCTTCCACTGGAAACTGGATGATTTGGAGAGCGAGATAGTAAGTCACTCAAGTGAGGTCCCTTTCTTGCGTCTAGTAGTAACACCGACGGCAGATACGGGCCAAGGCTGCCCTACAAAGAGATTTGGATCGTTTTCAGCAGGCAAGACAACCGGTGGAACAGCCTGCGCCAGTCGAGGCGCAGAGCAAATCACCCATGGCCATCGACCTCGACTCTTCGTCTCGAGAGCCAACGCCTCCTGAGAATGAACCCAAGACCACGGAGGCTACGGGTCCGCAGAGGGTTCCCGCAGAACCAAGCACAGCACCATCAATGGCTCCGTTCCCTGACATGGGCGTCGGCTTCCAGCCAGCGCCCGAACCCAGTCCCCAAGTGAAGCAGGAGATGACACCAGCACCACCTGCTGCACCACCGGCTATGATGGCCCCTATGGGCGAGATCAAGCAGGAGTTTAAGACCGAGCCGCCAAGTTCGCAACCTCAGCCTTCAGGTGCCCCAGAGGCGCCCATGGATGACTTGTTTGGTCTTGGTGACGACTCTGGAGGCGGTACTGAGGGCAACAACCCAGAGT